ATCTGCAGCATTAAGTGAGAACAACTTTTCAGAATCAGTTTTGGATTTTTTTTTCAGATAGGCGTGTCACATTTTGAACTGCATGCGTGTTCTTTGCTGGCCTTTATGGAAGAAACTGCAAAAAGAATACCTCCATAGTTCTAAGACAGACATTCCAAGAGTTGTTTTCAATCAAGAGCAACTTTGTATTTTGTTTAGCTGTAGAATGTGAAAAGTATATTGTTGTATATTGTTGTTTAAATTCTTAAAAGTTCACAGTAGTAGACCTTTTCTGCTATACAGAGACACTCTTGGCAGCAATAGAACAAATCTGTCTAAGAGACTTGCATGGTGATTTTTGTTTTCCTTGACTCTTAAGATGTATCAAAAGATTGATATTCCAGAATGTTTCACTAAGACAAGCACATTATTTTAACATATTTCTGCTATTTCACCTTTGTCTCAGCTGCACACAGAAATCTTACCAAGTAAAATTGTCTCTGAAACTCATGACCTGTATGGTCAGTGATGCCAGTTTTCCATTTTCAAAACTCTGACAGGAACGATGAAAATCAGCACTTCTTAGTCTCTGTCATCTTGCTTAAGTAAAAAAAGGGTTCTCCGCGTCTCATTACTCTCCTTTTGTTTTCAGTAAGTAGCACATCTGAGCGTCTGTGATTCTGAATACATTTCTCATTATTCTTCCGTAAAAACAAACAAGCAGTGAATTAATAAGAAAACAAATCACTGCGCCATGTGAAGCAAGACTTGTGAGAAAAAGAAAAGAAAAGGATCCAGAATTCCATCTGCACTCTAATTGTTCCATCTGGACCAAGCATTTCACTGAAATTGAGTTAGAAAAAGAATGCTGTCTTTAACAGCTGATACAGTAACTGTAGATACACAACCTTCGTATCAGAAGTACCCATATTGTAGATTAATATGGCTAGTTTAGTGTCTGTAGTTAGTGAGAATGTGCACACTGTCTTATCTGTTTTACATAAATTGTGTTCATTAATATTCTTTCCCTTTAGAAAGGGTGTACTTTCTCCCAGGCAGAATGCTGATTCTGACTCAAAGCAGGCCAGAGATGGCACATTCATTGGTGGATTTCTACTGTTGTCTGGGTGCCAAAATAAGTGGTATTCCAGTGCTGGGCCAGTGCCTCTCATGTTGTTGGACCAGCCTTAGCTGTTCTAGAAGGCTACAGGCAAAACATCCTTTAGTTTTGTGTAAAAACTCATGTGTAATACAGTAAGGAAAAATCAAGTTGAAAATCTGTTTTCTCTCATTTTCCATTTAAATATGTTGTGTTCACTGAGAAAAAAAATCGGCAGACTTTTTTTGCCTTGCAAATGTCAAAGCCCAGATATTTTACAAATATAATTTTCAGCCTCCATACTATAGAAATTGCATGTATTTATACACATACACTTTCACACATCCACAATTACTAACAAAGCCTTGTGCTCAGCTGTACCTCTGTAGAAATCTAAGGCTAATAGAGTGTATTTTGTCTACACTTTTTAATCCACTACAATTTATTGACATGTGATAGGCTTTCTATTTCCAAGCTTTAAAAAGCAAAGATCTATGATTATTACACGAGTACTATACACACAACAGATAAATGAGACTTTTCTGGAACTGGATGGCATTATTTTCTATTAAGGATTTGTTATGCAGTAAAACAGGAATATAAGACTTGCTATGTTTTTAATAATATAACTCTGCAATTAATTTATGTACACATATGGTACAGGAATAAAAGAAGGCTCTCTGAAGGGTTCTTACAAGTATCTGCTTAATAAAGGAAACCATTTTTTTCTATATGTACTACTAAATTGAGATAATATAGGTGTCTATGTTGTTAATACAGTTTTTTATTGGCAAGATAGCTTCAACAGGCACAAGGACAATGCAATATGCTTTCTTTTCATGTTTTTGTTTCATTTCAGTTATTTTTTTTCCGGGTGACTGTATCATTTATTCATGTTCTTCAAGCACGGGGGCTCTGACAAGGCCAGAAGATAATAGGCAAACTCATTTATTCCGAGCTTTTCGAGCGATCATGTTTAATTCGTGATGACAGCTGTCTCCCATCCATTAGCATTGCAAATGAAGGCATTGTGAAAGGGACAAGCTACCGAGCATGACTCAATTAGCTCCTGTATCCAAACGAAGGCACAGTGAATAGGGCGGGGTGGGTGGAGGGGGTGTCGTGGGGGGCCTGTTGATGTTGTGGGGCTGGAAACGGACATTAGTTGCCCCTGCCATTTTGTTTTGCTTCCTCCCTGCAACCTTCTAAGCAAAGAAAAAAATGAACACCCAGAACCACTCTCAAACTGTCTTCAACTTTAGTTTGGAATCGGTGTGTTAGAAGGAGGTCTGAGGTGAGGGTGAGGGTGAGGCCTGGGGGGAAGGGGGGTGAGTGGACTGGGGCCTTTTTTCTGCCCCTTTACTTTACCTCTCCCCTCCAAAGCACAGCCTAAAAATCGTCCGGGGAAGCCTTGTTTGTTTGTCCATTTGGAGTGAAGGTGGAGTGACAGATACTATACAGTTGTGCAACTTAACCAGCTGGAGAAGCATTCTCTGGGGGAACCTGCTGGGTTGAGGCTGTTGGTTGAAACCCCTCTGGGCTACTGCATTCAGTGGCAAGGTCTCTTTTTACAACAAAATATGTTGTACCTCGTGGAACAAAAAGAAACCCAGTGATTCCACATAGAACACAAGACCTAGACTTTTTTTTTTAGGAAAACCCTTTCAGTAATTGTTAACAAATGTATGAATACAAATGTATGGATAATTGCTGTAATACTGCATGTATCAATGTCTCAAAACTCTGCCTGAATTTAAAAGGCAAAGTTTTCATTTTTTTAAATTCAAACTTTACAAGCACGCAGTGTTTCTATGCCATTCTTCTGCATGAAACTAGATGTTTTTTTTTTAAATAATTGCTAAGGAGGGGAGGACTTTGTTTTTGTGCTCAAGCCGAGCCTCATCATTATTTATATTGTAAGGGAGAAGACAAAAATATCATCGTCCACAATACCATTCCAAAGGGCCATTGTCATAGTAACCAAGCTGCACTTAAAAAGCAGCACAATAGAATGAATAAAACACGCCAGACATCATATCCAATAAAGAGACATTCATATACATCTTAAGCAGCAACAAAATGTGTTTTTCATTTTGAAAAATTAACATGTATTTTAGACATGAATAAGAGGGGGCGGTTGAATATTGCTCACTGAGTAAATCATTTCCTTCACTGGACATGTTCCTTGATATTTTGTCCCCGTTTTGAAGTTCTTTGGTCAGTGCTGCTGTGTTATTTTGACCTTATGCAAACGTGGTGTACAAGTTTTGTACACCAGATGCTTTTGTAGCTGTGGAAGGGAGAAATAAGTTGTCTTTACCTAGAAGGCAAAACTACATTTAAGCTGACTTTAATACAAAAATACACTTGCAAACCATTTCACAATCCCTTTGCCCCTAGCTGCAGATAAAGTCAGTATCGACTGATTACAGGGGAAAGGAGAAGGTTCAAAACTTAATGAAAATGGGAGAAATGTTTTTCAAAATCTCCCTTCCCTTAATATTTCACAATGGATAGCACATACATTAAAATTAAATACTCCTGTCATATTTTCTCATCCTGGGGGGAGAAAAGGACATTCACATTGTATCATTGCAAAATCATGAATCTGACACCCTTGAAAACCATGACTTATGGTGTTTTCTTTACAGTAGATGCAGTTGGGTTTGGAGAATCTTTAAAGAAGTTATGTATTTTTAAAGAATTCAAAAGCAAATCCCAGACGGTAATCAAAACATGAAAATTGTTATCTCTTGTATATTTTAAGAAAGGAATTCATCAGGCTTTACCTATCAAAACATATTCTCTGTGCCTTGTATTCATATTCAGTTGATTAGCATTATAGATATTTCCTATATCCCTTTATACAGATGACACATTTCAAAAATCAAATATGATTTTTTTATTATTCATTGTTTAACCAGCACATTAAACAAATTGCTTACTTGTGTCTTGTATCCATGTTCTGAACTACAGTAGACCCTTTGACGCTGAAAACAAAAATACCACCTCTCATTTCTTTAAAGATCCAGGCTAAATTCTTATAATTCTTAGAATACATTTGAGTTAAATACTTTATTACCAAACATTTAAATGAGACACAGCATATGGAGTGCAGATTTATTTTGAACTTCAATAGAAATCTATGAAATTCAATAATCCTACCTGACTTCAATTAGTTACATCACTAAAAAAATTATCACTTTGTGGGGTGAGTGGGTGTTCAGAAAACCTAGAAGAGCTATCATTGTCCATCAGCTTTGGTTTAACAAATACTATTTAATGTGGCTAAGTGAATTACCACATTAATGAGTTTAAGGAGGTCAAATCTCCCATTAGTTGTCAGTTTTCAAGTAGTTTTATTTACCTCCAGGATAGGCATTTCAGGCATTTCATAATCCTACAAAGTAAGAACAACATCTGCATACCACAGAAATAAATTATTGGTCTAAAGAAAATCTATATTTTTTTCTTGTTTTTTGATAAGAACATTAATTCTGCAATTACATTGGGCTGTTTTTTACTTTGCTTTCACGTTGACTTGGAGTTTTAAACAAGAATATGGTGTTCCGTTTTTATATTTTAAGAGTGTTACACATTGAAAGTACCAGTTTTCTCAGAAATAGCAAATGCAAAGAACACTGCATTTTCCTTAAAGATCCTCAATCGAAAGATGGCAGTTCTACTTTCTAAAGAGTTAAGAGGGTGTTTTTCTAAGACCAGACTCATTCAAGGAAATTCCCCGACCGACAACTTTCCCAGTCTGACGACCGCTGTTTACTTTGTTAAAGACACAATAGACAGACATTTCCTGCCGTGTGACCTCGGCAGGAAATGCCGAGGTCACACGGCCTGGCCCCTTATGTCAGCTGATTTATATTGTATCAACCCGACGGCCCTTCGCCAGCACTTTGGCCTGAAGTATCATTTGTCGTTGTTCTCTTTTCTAAATTACTGATGGATGCCCATATAGGTGAAAAGTGCTGAGCGAGGCCGTTGAAGGCACAATCATTTTAATGTTGCCTGTCAGCCTGTCAATTACACGCGGTTTCTCGTAGTTCAGGGAAAACCTTATATCCCGGGATACGTCTGGGACCCGCCTTTCACCACTAAACAAACCGGCAAAGAACGATAACTTAAAAATGTGAGATGAGAACCGATTAATAACGTTGGCTGTATTCCTGTGTATCGAGAGTGGAATGGGCTTTATATCTCCAAACCTTTTATCCATCATTAAATGAACAGTGGTAATGGCTCTTGGATGTTCAGTGAAAACGTCAGTCAGCTTGTAAGTACAGTAGCTGCAAACAATGGGGGGACCAGGTGTAGACTGGAAAAAGCCGTGAAAAGTGCATCTCTTCCAGTTTTTTTCCTCTTAAAAGGGTTTAATTCAGGTTTAAGGCTTTATTGTTTTAAAAATAAATGAAAACAGGGCACGAAAAAAAAACGTTTTTACAGTTTAAAATTACTTTTAAAAACTCTTAGATGTAAATGTAATTATTTTTAATGTTTTAGTTATTTCGCGCACTAGATCTTCACGTAATTGAAGTGCATGATTTCTTATACTGCAATGCCATCATGAATTGTTTTTCATTTCATAACAGGAGAGCATGCAAGCTCGGTTAACTAATAGTTAACAATTTAGTTCTGCACAGTGAAGTGTGGGGAAAAACTCATCCCCCAGCACAGAGAAGAAAAAAATCTATTTTAAGACCTTATGTTACAAGTAACTTCAAAGCAATACTGTAACATTGTAACACTGTAACAAAACTTTCAATACTGTAAGTTAAACATTATAGGTATCCATAAAACAATTGAGGTTGCCTTGCATTGGCCAAACTGTATTGGTATGAAAATCTAATTACCTGGATATTACTGATGCTTTTATTAGATCCCTGGCATATTAAAATGAGAAACTGAAATAAAAATAATATACCTATGACAAAAGTTACACACAGAATGGATCAAACAGGCACTGAGGGTTTGTGGGGAAAAAACATGATTCTGGACATTCTGGGAGTGATGTTTGCAATATGCTAGAGGTTTTTTATATTATAAGAAATTGTGCAATAAGAACACGTTAGTGACACCAGGAAAATACATTTAAAAACCTCACGTTAACTGCAAGTTGAGATCCTCATGTCAGTCACCTTCTACAACCAAGTGAGCAATCTCCCCTTGTTTCTTGCATTCTTCATTACCTAATAAGCTCTCGATAGAGGTTAAAATGAAAGAGATTGAAGTAAAGTGATATATATATAAAGGAACGTATACATAATATTAAAATTACAAGTAATAGTCCATCAGATGGCTCTACCCCATTTTCCTAAGCTGTAGGAGACACCCAGCTGTTATAGTTTAGGCACCAGAAAGCAAAGGAGAAAACCAAGAAGAACTGGGGAGCTTGAGGACAGCTGAAGAGAGCTAGCGTGAGAGTAAGATGTCAGATCGGTAGTGTAATGTTCTGTACAACCAAACTTTAATATATATAGTTCATTGTTCCACACCTGCCTCCATGTCATTCTTTGCTTCATGTGAAGATACAACAGAGATGGCTATCCAGAACTGTGCCAGGTTCACGCGGCACTGTTTAGGAATATCTGACCATCCATTTTCTAACCATTTTATCCAATTCAGGGTCACGGAGGAGCGGGAGTCTGTCCCAGCCAGCAGTAGGCAGGATACACCCTGGACAGGATGCCACTCCAATCAAAGGGCATATACAGACACAGACACGCTTACACCTGGGTCAGTTTTCCCAGAAGCAAAGTAATAACCTACTAATATGTCTTTGTGAGAGGAAACCGGTATATCTAGAAAAAAGCCACATGAACACATGGAGAACATACAAACTCCGCACAGATAGCACCCCAGGTCAGGAATTGACCAGGGCCCCACTGCAGAGATGCAGTAATGCTTACCATGATGCCACTGTGCCTCCCCATTTAGAAAGATCTGTTATCAAATAAGGTCAAGTTTTTAGACAGAAGCCCTGTAAACCACTCAGGAGAAAATATAGACATCTGCTGTCGACATTATCTGCTGATCTGTCCACCTGCAAAACCAATAATCGTTTGACAATCTGCAAGTTCTACAAATCCTTACAGGAGAGTTAGTGACAATTAGAGAAAAATATGACTGGTATATCACAGGAGTTGCTGTTACACTGGCAATTGAGAGGACTCTGGCTGAATCTGTCTCATGGATCCATTTTACATATACCCCAGATGCAATGGCAAACGTGAAATTGCTAGAGCTAATTAATATTAACATTCCCATAAGCCATAGCAAGGTATGCTTGCTCTTAAAAAATAATCTAGCCCTGAATGGTGTTTCTTGTAACATACTGTATATGCAAGTCGGTTTCGCTGGTCAGCTGTATCATGCCCTAATAAGGGGTGTCTGTGACTACTTTCTTTTTAGAACAATTAGAAGTCTGTTTTTAAACTTCTGTTTACCAGCAATGTGAAATGGTCATTTTTTCCCCAAAATGTACATAATTCACAGTGACTCCTGTTTAGTCTTGACAACATAATCTGACACCATGCACGTTTCTTCCTTGTAAAATAGATTAGATGGATAGAACCAGAAACAAGCCTTTGGAAATGTGAAAAAAAAACAGATTATCATGCTTGTAAGAGCATTTGTAAACATTTTGATAAAGGAATGGTGTCTGTTACAGGCTGCTATTTGGTTAATTGTGCTTTTTTTGTGTTTTCCAGCTCTGTCTCGTCATCTCTTTTTGATCCACTGTGAGGATGAGGAAACCTTGTGAGTTTCCAGTCCCTGCTATGGGAAGCTGAGGGACAGAAAGCTCACTACTGTAAATACGCTGGATGACAAAGGGGGTGCTCATTGTAACATCAATAATAATATTAGACTGGGAACACCTGATGTTGTGTGGAGATCACACAAGGAGCTAGCTGCTCTGCTTTGTCAACCCCCTCCAGTTTGGAATAGAAATATATTGATGTGATGATTAGTAAGCGCTATATGTTTAGATTTTGTTATATGTTTTTTCACAAGCAAACTTCAGTTCATACATGTTTTGTAACAGATAGGTAACAAAATCTCTACAACCTATGAGAATACTGCATCATACAATCATATTTGACCTGTCAACACAGCTGATTATACAATAAAAATCTGTCAAGTTAGACAGCGGTCTGTGTTGTTGTGTGGGAGAAGGTTAGATTTTGCACTACACTGTGTGTTTGCACAAAGAGGGTTGCTGTCTCATGGTAAACCTTCTATGTCTCTTGTCAGCTGACCCTCATTCAGCCTCAGTCGGTCTCACCTGGTCTCAGTTGCACTTAAACACGGTGAGGACACAGCAGGAGGATGCTGATCGCAGACTTTTATCCTGCACCTTCCTACATTGAGGAGCCGTTGTAGCTCAGATGGCAAGAAAATGGTTGAGAAAAATGGTGGCCCTTTCTCCCATGGGCCTTTATGGCCTGAAAAGGGGACCTACCCTACCTACCTCATTGAAGTCATGAGAGCAGTGTCTCCAACCACAAGAGCAGGTCCCTTTAAAAGTAAGCAAAGAAACATAAAGAAGCCTGTTATTCTACATTTAGTGTTCTGAAGCCCCCTCTTGATCTTCATGATTAAATTGCGAGCTACTGTAAAAGGAAACCTGATTGCATGCAGGTGTGGACCAAAGTTCTATACAATAGATCTTAATTGAAAAATAAAAGTGTTGAGATGAATTATATTTTTGGTGTGCTACATATACATCCTCTTTTTCTAAGTTTTCTGCAAAAAGCAGTGTGCACAGAAAAGTTAGGGGGGCTGTGCATGCCTGTGCATTGTGAAACTAGTGCTATAGCAATATCTGTTTAATTGATGTAGCCTCTCACTTAATAGGGGAGTCATGTGGACAGGAAGGTCAGAAAATGCAAGATTTCAAGTGCCAAATCATTTAAATATGAAAAAGTATTGGCATTTTGAAAGTGTCTGTAAAGAAAAAGAAAGCATTAACCATTTCCTCTCCGAAATATGGAAGGAAACAGACTGCTATTCATACTTTTGTGTGCACCAGACATTCAGAATAAAAATACCATCATGTGTAACATGTTTTTACATGTGCAACATCTTGTGTTATGTTTATTTAGCTGTCCTAAGTGTATGCACTTTTTCTTCATGATTTTAATTATTAAGAGCTTGGGGCTAAATATTAATTAAGACATCTTTGAAATAGTACCTTTTAAATTTACTTTCACTTCAATAGAATCAGCTTGGATTGATAAAATAAAGAACAATGAGAATTGGCCTTGGTTGAGTCAGGGAATGTTTTGCTTGATGCCTTACATTAAAAGATCAGTTGTTTTCTATCATCTTTTAGTTGCGTCAGTGACATTCAGCCGGCCAGATAAATGAAAATAAACAGGACCCGCAGGCTCAAACAGCCCAGAAAGATCTAGGTTCAGCAGGTAGACCTTGATTTCTGAAATCTTCTCATTATACTGTGACATGAATGACCCCCCCCCCCCACCTCGGGAACCGGCATCCATGGGACCTCCTCGCATTCCTGCACTGTCCCAGAGTGTCCGAGTCAATTAAGAAGACATTGTCTCCTCCCCCAGGCCCACCCGACATTGAGGCCACCCAGGAGTCTGGCCTGATCACGCTCAAAAGCATCTCTGGTGGCCCATTGAAATGCAGTCTCCTTAAAAAAGAGAAGACTGAATAGAGAGTGTCGCCATGTCTCTGCTGCCCAGTCAAAACGGTGGCCAGCTGACACAGAGAACAGAGCCCCCCCACCCTCTCCCCGAGCACACACACACACAGCGCCCTTCCACAACCCCTCACAAAGCTACGAAACGGAGTCCCTCAGTGATGCCGAAGAGGGGAGAAAGAACTCGGTGCCCTAATCTTGTTCAGAACAGGCGCTGCTCTGTGCAAAGCCTTGATTGCCGGGAAGGATCACACAAAGCACTGTTTACTCTGCATTCTTCTGCCTCTTAGCGCAGGGCAGCCTGGGTGTGATCACCCGCCACAATTAGGAAGGGGATTTCTCCCGCCTCTCCCAGGAGCAGCCTGTGATCTGCCGACTAGCAGTGTCCAGTGAGGGGATCCAACAGGGTTCTGCATTTAATCTGGGACGACAACACAACACGCTCCCAGTTTCTTTGACCTTATTTTATCTCTAAATTTCCTCTTCTGTATATGGTGTTATTAGGACGGATTGTGTTAAAACAAGTTGTGCGGACTAGCCAACTGTGGGTTACCGAACTCTGTTAGTTTGTTGGCTTAGGCAAAATAGCAGCCCCTATAGTAGTTTGCCTGCTGCCTGCTAAGGGAGGCTCACAGTTACAACAGTCAGAGATGGCTTGCTCATTTTAAATGGACCTGACTCTCCAATGGAGATGGTTGCCTATGATGTGAGATGGAAAAATACAGGTCCATGGAAACATTCAAATAGGGCAGCTGTCATAGCTGGACCTCTTGTTCAGCTTTAGTGTCTTCAATACCAAAGGAAACCCTGTTTCCCTGCAGCGGACACACGTCAGCATTTGTGGTTATAATCCTTCTGCCACAGCAGTCTGGCTGAAACCGTATGCAGTACTGCAATCCAACACAAATTTCAGGAATCTTTAAATGTAGTTTACATTAGAAGTTTGGGATAAATAACACCCCCAAATTCAATCATCCTAAGCTGTCCTAAATTGTAATCCTTGCTAATGTCATTTCCTCAGGGTAGAAACAAACTCTAAAATAACTATATGTGAGTTCCTTCTCCCCTTGGTTCACTCCTTGCTCTACAAGGGGGTCCCAGCCAGGGGGTGCCCATCAGCCAAGTGGGTCAAGCCAACTTTACTGCAGTATGTCTAAATAACCATTTTCAGTCCACTAAATTCTTGGGGGCTGTTATTTCTTGTAAAATCAGCTACGCTTTCAGAGATAGGAAAAACTGCCTGATTAAGGTCAAAACTAGTTGCATCACATACTCTAATTAACAGCTTGATTCAAAAGACAACCAGATGACACTAGTCAATACATCAGCTGATTGCTCCTGACTCAAGAGCATAGTGCATTTCAGAGAGACTATTCCATGATGTCAGCAGAGTATATTTTTCTTAAGAGATTTCAATGTCCAGCCGTTGCATCACATCTTCACTGCTTTGGAATGAGTCAGGTTTTCCTCTTGAATGACACTAGTGCGTGAAACACTGCCTGAGAAGTCTGCATTCTTTTATTCATTGCAAAGCACTGAACTGCATTCAGATTTTTAGGTTCTGACATCTTTGCTGAAAGTTCCTGATACATCTTTATAATGAACGTAATTAATGGCATCAGTCCTTTATCCTAAAGCTTCCTATTTGCTGGGCTGGAGGTTATAAAGTAGAAAGGATGCACACATAGCTGAAATGGTTGTGTGACATCATATTGTGTGACATCACATTGTGAGACATTACGGATGGTGTTCCCCTCCCGCCACCTAAAATACGAGGGCTGAGACTGTGCATTCCAGTGAACTGTTCTCTTGAGGGAAAGCGCTCAAAGACAAACCCCTCAAGCAGCTCGATGCACAGATAATGAAGGGAGAGTGAGAGAGAGAGAGGGATGCAGGGGACAGCGCTTACTCCTGTGAGACATCAGAATGAAGATGATGAGGGGGAGGGTTGAAAAAAACCAGCGCGATATGAAACATAAACAGCACAGGCCCAATCGGGGCAGGGTTTCGCTCACTGCAGAGCAGGAGATTGTACGGACAAAGAAAAACACTTTGATCTCTTGAGAACTAATTACTCATCTCTGGCTTCACTGTGCTGTCTATTAGGTAGCTTTCTCCTCAGATGGAGCTGCTCTATTGTGGAGGCACTACAGAAAATTTGACATTTTGTATCAAAGACTGGCACAGGTCTGGACCACAATAACAGGGCAGAGGGAGGTTAATACAGAGAGGAAAGAGGAAAAGGGGGCTTTTTATGCAGTGGATTAAAGTATCTGTAGAGTCGTACTGCCCCATATTTTACACAGAAGCCTAATTGCAATTACAGCTCTTTTTTACATGTCACTACTAAATTCTTTCACCAATTTGATCAAATTGCTGAGAGAAATTGGCACAGAGACGTTATTTCCCAGAGACTCCCAGAGATTTTAAATAATAAGGGCAATGCTTATAAACAGTAAAAATGAGCTTCTACCTGGGTTTATATCTGGGAGTAATTTCATTATATAAATGCTACCTCTCCTTTCCAGATCTTCAACAATTTGTTTTCAGATTATTAGCTTAGAATTTGGTGTGGATTCTCAGACTTTTTCCACACAGATCTTGTCTAAACAGAGATCTTATATGTGATTGCTAATATGAAATGCCTTTGACAACAGTGCAAATTAATACCACAAAGTACTTCCATCCCCAGCACATCATTAATCATATGTTTGTAGCAGTTTCTGACCTTTTTGCTTATGAAACAAGTTCTCAATCCACTAGAGCTGATGACAAACACTCTGAAAATATTCAGTCAAGGAAAAAAACAACAAGAGTTAACAATAAATACCAAAACAGAAAATAATCTAAGGAAACAGACAATGGGTTCCCAAAAGGTCTGCTCAAATGTGACTTATTTAGGTTTCAGCTCATCAGTTCAGTGGACAGAGTGCAAAAGATATCAACCAGAACAACATCAAACAATCCTATGTGAAGGCCACAGCAAAACAATTCACACTGGTGCTTTGTGTCATTGTTTGCTTGTGGTCTAAAATAAGAGCTAACAGAAAGCTCCTTCCAGATGAAAAGAGATAGTTAAGGGTTCAAGGGTGTTGATGCATGACTTTCGATTGTCCAGATAACATTTTTCTTGGAGTGGGTTTCAGACAGTGAGGATGAACTGAAGACTTGGTATTGATAAATTGTCATTCTGACAGAAGCTCCTATTTTTAATGGTTGTCTAATTGACTGCAAAACTGTAATGAAAAAAGTGAAGCTCAGGAAGCCCCTGAACAGGAAAAGGTGCAGGTTGGGTTCCTACAGCTGTGGAGTCAGTGTTGTCACTCACTGCAAGCAGAACTACTTGCCTTCGTGGAGTGAGGGGGCCAGGCTGTCTTTGTTATAATTTGATGTTTTTTGTGAAAGGAAAGAGATCGTTCAGATGTCTCAAAGTCAAAAAAAGAAAGCCTGCTAGGGCTCTTCCATCGACACTGAGAA